GGCGCCTGGGTGGCTCAGCTGGTTAAGCATCCAACTCTCGATTTCGGCTCAGGGCATGATCTTGCGGTCCGTGAGTTCAAGCCCCACGTCGGGCTCTGTGCGGACAGCTCAGAGCCTGGAGCCTGCTTTAGATTCTGTGTCTCCCTCTCTCTCTGCTCCTCCCCCCGCTCACACTCTGTCTCTGTCTCTCTCTCTCTCAAAAATAAATAAACATTAAAAAAAAATTTCTTTTGGGCTGCCTGGGTGGCTCCGTCGGTTAAGCGTCCGACTTCGACTCAGGTCGCGATCTCACGGTTCGTGGGTTCAAGCCCCGCATCAGGCTCTGTGCTGACGGCTCAGAGCCTGGAGCTTGCTTCCGATTCTGTGTCTCCTTCTCTCTCTGCCCCTCCCCTGCTCTCTCTCTCTCTCTCTCTCAAAAATAAATTAAAAAAAAATTTTTTTAAATGGGGAAACACCAGACCAATCGCGACGGAAGGACATTCCCCAAACATGGTTGTGGCCAGTCCTTCCCAAAAGTAAGGTCATGAAGAGCAGGGACACTCAAATGTGGTGGTGCCCTCGGTGGCTCTGAGGACTGGAAGGACATCAGGGGAAAACAGAGGCAATTGAACCAAGTGTGGACTTTGGTGAATAATGACGAGTCAGTGTGTGACTCGTTCACCAAGTGTGACAAGCGTGCCACAGGCATGGGACGCGTTAACTGCAGGGGATGCCGGGTGTGGGTGTGTGGGAGCTGCGTGCTTTCAGGGCGACGTTTCTCTAAATCTGAACTGTTTTAGATACAATTAGATAAAAAAAAGAGGCTGTGTCTGCAGGTGCCCGGCGCTCGGGCCCTGAGCGTGGCCCCGCGTCACCGGGCTCTCTCCCGTAATTATGGGGCACCCACGCCCCCGTCCCAGACCCTGTCCTGCCCATGGATAGGGTGCCTGAGGCTGTCAGGTAAATGACTCACCCAAGGCGCCCGTTAGCCTGGGATTCGGGTCAGTGAACAGGACGTCGCTGAGCCCCCGCCAGGCACCGGGCACCATGTTAGAGGGCACAGTGCCTGTCTGCCCTCGGCCGGCTCTGGGAGACTTGCAGAGGGCTGAGCTGTGGGAGGGTCGGCCGGGCCCAGGCGGACAGGGCAAAGGCAAAGCACTCCCTCCCCTCCTCTGCCAACCCCTCCCACAAG